CCAGTGCTGGTGCATGAGAAAGACTCATTTGTCAGAAAGAAAGGATTATGATTTTAAATATGGATTCAGATGGGGGGAGGAGGCAGCAGGTGGGAAGAGGGAGAAAGCAACTCTGGGGAAAGCGGATCTAACAATATGCATATTTTGATCTGACATTTAAGGTTTGCTATTTCTATTCCTTCTGAGATGGTACGGATTGCAAGACCACAGAGCAAGTGAAATGCTGATTTACAGAGAGCCAAACACCACTAAACCTAAGCAAGAGGTACTCTAAGAATTCTCTCACCTACAGGACTTTTGTTGCTCTTTTAATCTCAGATACAGATCATAACCAGGGTTACAGAACTACAGCATAGACCCAAGTTACACATGTATAATAATTATGTTTAAAAGATAAACCTCATCCATACAATGGATCATGGTGGTATAATCAGCCTGTGTCCAAAAAAAAATAAAAAATAAAAATCTGTAAATATATATCCCAAAACCAGTTAATGTTGGGATGGATATTATATTGGTTTCTTATAGTTTGAAAGGAGCTATCCCAGTGTTTTTCAAACTTGGCAACTTTAAGATGTGTGGACCTCAACTCCCAAAATTCCCCAATCAGCATGCTTCCAGAATTCTGGGAGTTGAAGTTCACCCACCTTAAAGTTGCCAAGTTTGAAAAACACAAAGGTATACAATCCAATTCTGTTATTCTCCTTTTATTCTGAATGAGTGTAATGTTTAAAGTGCTGGCTGCATTAGAAAATGAAAGGGGGGAATCTACGACCAGGAATTAATTTTCACATGTGACCAATCTTACTTACTTAGTTGGGCTTATATGGTGCTCCAATCCATAAAGATTCAGAGCAGTTTATGTCACTCTAAGAGTAAGACGATTTTTAAAAATATATAAGACTTAACCATTGCAACTGAAATTGTTATAAAAAAACTTTGGCATCTGAAGAACAGACTCTGAACAAAATCCTGTAATGGGACTTGCTACTCATGGCAATTCTACTCCTGAACCTCTTTTTAAAAGCCACGTTTTAATGGTTTTCTTAAAGCTTAACAGGATGGGAACTTCTTTGATCTTGGTACATAATGCTATTCCAAAGAAAGGGGGCTCCAACTGTGATTTCCATTAATTTTTTTTCACAATACTTGCCACAGAGCTGCAGCAAAATATAAGGAAAAAGTGTGCTTACACTCATACACATCTGTCTTGAATGCAGAAATACATAATGTGTTTTTCAATACCTGCATTTTTAAAGGTTCTTTTTCCAAATGTATGCATATTAGAAGGAATTTTTGAGCTGAACGTTGCATTTCAAAATTGGCGGGAATCTGAGATCTGAAGCATTACTTCATGCCAAACTGCTTAGCAATTCAGGAAGCCCCAATTAAGTCAGTCTGTTTAGAAATGTGGACCAAACAAAATTCAAGAACATTGGGGGCTAGTTAGCAGAGATGCTGGGGTTGAGTATTGCTTGATTTCTGAAGGTTCATTGATGTAAGGCTCATGTGCAAGGTTCTTCTAGTAGACATCATAGTCTGAATATCCCTGCTCACTCTATCCTGGCCATTTAGATCTTAAACTACTCAAGAAGCAGAGTATTATTCACTCAATGAATTAGTAACTACATATAACTTCATAAGGTTCTTGAACAGTAGTAGCAGGATATTATTCTTTTCCCAGCAGCTTATGTCTGAATGGGAATAGAAACCCATTATATATGAAACTGAGAGGAAAAGTAGATTTTATGATGATCTAACCCAAACAAAGATATGATTCAGATTATTTGCATAAACTGATGTTCAGAATATAAATGGAAAACGAGGTCTATATTAGATCATTTTCTCAAACCACAGTAGCATATATTCAGAACTACATCACATTTACCTTTACTATTCAAGAAACAGTGATTTCACTATCTTTTTATTCCTATTGTTGGATTAAAAAAAAAACAATTGAAGGTTAGAATATAAATCCGTCAGAAAAATAATTTTCCCTGCTTCATTACTGTACTTAAGATTTTGGAAATTTCCTCTTTATTTCAGGATCAGAAGAGGAGCCCATGGGTTTTATTTTATTAAAATGAGTTTGTCCAGCCTTTTAGAATTGCCTGCCACCGCACAGGCCTTCATCAGCATTCTTTAACCTCGGTGCCTTCCAGATGCATGGATTTCAACTCCCAAAATTCTCAGCAACGGCCATGTCGGCTGAAAATTCTGGGAACAGAATTTCACATGTCTGAAGGGTGCTCTGATTGGAGAAGGCTGCCTTATACATTCACTCAGATGTCCACTGGCCATCTATACATATATGCCTCCTATGACATCAGAAGGAGATCAAAGAGAAGGTAGCTCAGTTGCTGAATGCTTTCCCTGGAGAAGTCTGTCTAGCACATTGATCTCCCTTCCAAGCCTCTTACATATTACTTTAAATCCTGCTGAGGATTTTTGTGTTGCTTTTTAAAAAAAAATTCCTAGCCTGTCTTTTATAAAATTTATTTCTATTTAAATTTTAATATTGTTTTGTTCTTGGCAAAACTAACCTAGAAATACGATTGAAGAGTAAAATAAAGACATGTATAATAAATATTATATGGCTATAAATAATAATGCTGCTTACCTATGCTACATCCTTTAGTTTTTCATTCCATATTGTTTTGCAGGGGAAAAAAAAGCCCATGCTCAATAAAAATTCAAATTAAACAACTAGAGGACCCTCCTTTGAATTTTACCTGAACTATAATTTGAGGAAGGGACTGTCAATTTTATTTGAAGTCTTCCTCTGAGAGATTGTTGACTATATCTTCAAACTAAAAAAGCAGTGATGTTGATTAAGAAAATGTCCCATGTTTCCAAAGTTCACTTTACCATGGGGTCTGTTACTTTTTTTAAGTGACTACTGATCTCTCATGATGGTACAGGTGGTGAGAAATAAAATTGGCCCAATTTATTCTTAGAAATAAAAATTCAAGCCCACATTTTGTCAAAGTTAACGATCTAGTCAAAAACAGATTTTTTTTTTATGTTTTAATTTTTTATTTAACTTTAGGGTTTGTTAGCAACACTGAGAGATATTGTAGGTGGTATGGCAGTTGTGGAAGGCACATTGTCAATTCCAGTTTTATCCTGAAAGAACAAAAGTGGGAGGGACAGCCTTTATAACGAAAAAGTATACAATTATTGACAGAAAAGGGAAAAGCTGCTGCTCAAATTCCCTTCAATAGAGCTTCCTATGTTGAATTACTTTGGAGCTTTTACAGAGATCTTCCAAACTGAAAATCATACATTTCCCTCAATTTGACTGCTATTGTTTTAAGTATCGTGGGGGAAGGAAAGATCAAAGGACCCTATCCCAACTTGGTGCCTAACCGCATTGTGACTTCAAGACCCAGAATTCTCAACCATTATATTGGCTTGGAATTCTGGGAGCTGTAGTTCCAAGCCATTCACAGTGTACCAGAAGACTTATCTAGAGAAACTTGGAAGATTGCACAAAAATCCATCATTTTTTTTCCACTTGGGATTGCTGCAAGTTCTCTTCAAGAGCTGAATCTATTTATTTATTGATTGATTTGATTTGATTTTGATGCTGTTCAACTCCAACCAAATCAAGCAACAGTATTTGCTGAAATATTTCCACATTGTTTTCTTCCTGCCACTTTATGCCTGTTTCAAGAACAGGAATGCCTTAAGAGGGCAAAGTGATCCCCCCCCCCCCGATTCTTGCATCTTCTTTTCCCGCTCTCTCCTTCCCTGTTGAACATATTAATGTGATTCTTGCTGTGTTTATTTATAAAGAAAAATTATTCCATTCCAGGATGACATTTATGCTGATTATCTTCACAGCCTTTTCACTGCCTCTGCCTTTTATGGTGGTTGTATTTCTTTAAGACTGTTGCTGTTCATCCCATTTTAGAACTGGTGGAATATTTTATTGGAATGACCATCTGATAAAACGGTATGCACTGCATGTGATGGATATTTCCTGAAAGAGAACAAGAGAATGCAAAGGCATAAAAGGTTTCCAGTCAATGCTTCACCTTTTATAGGCAATGTGGATTTATGTTTGGATGATTTGTCAGTTCTATAGTATTCTATGATTTCTAGGCACCTTCCGCCCTTGGCTTAATTTTAAATTGGGTGGAGAGGTAATGTAAGTGACAAGAGAACAGTCAAGTTGCACGCACAGGCAGAAGAGAGAGGAAATGGATTCAATGACTAGGGCCAATGGGATTTCTTTTCATTTGGTGGACTAGCCATGGAAGCTAGATTCACACATGAACATTAGTTTACAAATGATAGCGGCTGGACTTACACACCTGGCTAAACAAAACCCAAATATTATCTTTGAGTTAATATAAAACTATGTTACCTGATGTGTGTACCCTATTTTGTCTCAGTAATGAGGCTAGTCAGTGGTAATATCCTTAGTTTTATGTGGGACAAGTTAAGGAAAATTATTAGCTTGGCTTATTTCTCCTCCTTCCTAATGTCCCCTGCCAATGGGTAAGCAGCCCTCAATCTCCTTCCTTAATATGCAGTTGGGCAGGGTTGGGTGAGTATAAGTGGGTACCACCTATCAAGTTGCCCTAACAGACTACAAGGACAGAGATGTTCTGTGATGTGTTGGAGGGGTTATTTTTTACCATGACTCTAGTCTCCTTTGACCATAAGACTAGGGCTCTGTGACCTGTCAGTTGGGCCAATGGGCATGGAGAAAGAGCATCAGGTGAAGCAGGAAGGAGCAACTGATAACAAGTGAGAGAAAATGAATGGGCTTGCAGTGAGTGATCATGGCCAGCAGCACACAGAAGCAGACCATGGAACATAGAAGTAAGCAACATGCCCTTCTCCATAGACATAAAACCATGAAATGTGCAGCCATGCAAAGTCCCTTGTTAGCAGAACCAGCAGAAAACCAGTAACGCACTAATTAGTAACAGAACCAGCAACACAAAGCTGGCAGAACCCAGCTCTCTTTCTGGTTTAAGTCAGCTTTCAGTGAACTACATAGAATCAAGAAACCAAATTAAAACATCCATGTCCAGTCTGTCCTTGAATCAATACAACAAAGAGTACCCCATCACCTTTCTAATTGGTTCCATGTCGAAATATTCTTACATTAATCTTTTTTTCCATAGCATGCAACCAAAATCTGCTTTCCTGAAGCTTAAGCCTATGATTCCATGTTTTCCACTTGGAAAGACCTTTTCCAAAGTCTCGACCTTTTCAAAAATCTTGTTTGTGAGCTTTCTCCAGGAATTTGAAGAGTGCTACCAGGCTTCTCTGTGCAAGGCTAAGCATATCACGTTCCCTCAGTCTCTCCTCCAGAGCTTTGTTTCCAGTCCCTTGATCATCCTTATTGCCCTTTTCTGAACATGTTTATGTTCTACCTGGAATGAAATCTGTTAAATTTTGGATGGTAGACTGTTGGGATTTGATCAGATAGGGCTACTCTCATGTTTTATGTTTCACCACAGAGCAACTTTTAAGAAAAATAACTATGATTTTGTCTCTCTCTGTGTGTGTCAGGAATTGAAATCTGGTATCTTCAAACAGACCAAAGTCAACTTTATCTGTTTCAATAAAGCTTTTCTTTTATTTATTTTTTCCTCAGTATAATAGTGTCTTTTATAAAAAGCATTTTGATTTTAAATTATCTCCTTTGATGTTCACATTTTGCAGAACAAGTTCATTTTCTTGTTTAAATGATTCAATATCCTACTTTTTCTTCTACATTCAGGTCACTAGCCTGGGGATTGCAGGTAGAGGTGGGGTGCTGATGTGCACTCATTCTCAAATCCCTGTGTGTTTAAACTCATCATATATATTTATAATTATGTTTGTAATTCAGATAATCTTTGAAATTCAATCCCAAAGGTTATTTATGAACAGGAAACTCTCAAGTGGCTTTTATAAGGTCAAAATATGGGATTCATTTTTTCGTACATTCTAATTTTCTTTGCCAAGCTTACACTTTCATCTTTGTGCAACACAATTAACACTGATGTGAAGGAAAATAGGAGAGGAAAGAATCCAAGTTTAGAGTAGATGACACAATTATTTCATCTGTGGATCTCACCAGGATGAGAAGAACCGTTCAAACCACTGCCATATATTGAAAAACTGAAGGGCTGACTATTAATTATAAAAAAGCAAACGCTATTGTGTTTTCTGTTTTTTAACTCATTAATCAATAAAGATGGGCACTGATTTTTTTCTTAAGAATTTGAGAGCAGAAACATTGGATGACGTTTCCGAATGTTTTCAAGGGAAAGAAAACGTGTCCAGCAAAACTCAACAGCAAAACTCCCCCTTAATTGTGATTGTAGCACCACTACTTAAAAACCAACAACAATCACCACCATCAGTACAGAACCAGTCCTCTCAGAGCATCTTCTCTTGCAGTTTGGAAATATAAGAAGTCAGGGAAGCTGTAAACTGCTCAAGAGATTTTGCTAAATGAAAGACAGACATTCCCACACACTCCTTGGCCATCTAAGTAAATTGGGACAATAATATCGCATTCCAGTGTGATGGGATAAAAATAAAGCTGGAAACTCTCCCCTCCTCCCCCTTGCCTCTCCTGCAACCTCTTTTCTCTACTTCCTTCTGCCATTGCAAAATGGGATCAGCTCCAAGCTGTTGCATGACCCAAGAGTGACCATATTCCGCTGCCAAAAATAGCCCTCTTAACACTATCATACTGAAACAATGGGAGGGCCATAACCTGTCTGCTTAAGGGTTTGCTGTGTGGTTCCAATCTCACAATAGAAAAACCATTTATCCCCCATTTAACACCTATCCAAACCTATCCTTCAGATTTCCTCCCTCTCAACCTCAAAAGTGTATAAATTCTATGTTTTTCTATTGTTCAAGGTCCCTCTTTCTGGAAAGCAGGCACCCAATGATCATTGCAATAAACATGGTTCTTCTCCTCAGTGTTGTGTTCCTGTCTTTTGCAAAAAATTCCATGACACCAGCCTTGAGAATTTATCTGAAAATTTTATTGTTTTGGGGAAAAAATGTAAAGTAAATTCTCATCCGTCAAAATGAACTAGAATTGATAGGAAACAATGCAGGAGAATTTCTCTGCCTGGCACTACTTTGGACTTAATGGTATTACAAGGAAATTCCTCTTTCAATGGTAACACACAATACTTCATTTATTTTAAAGCATGGATGATACCTTTGCTATATTTGTCACCCTCCTATTTATTCCAGCAAGTAGAGTTCTAGATCTGTGCTCCAAAGTCCACTGTGTTGGCCAACTTTTCCCTGGAAGGGCTGATGGGCTAAAGAACTAACCAAAATAAAAGATTATCTATAAAATATGCCATGCCACCAGCTGAGCTGGAAGTAGCAACATGATATAAAAGAAAGGTGGAATATTAGTGGGGAACATGGGGAAAACGGCAGTAAGTTGCTTATCATGATGAAAGGTGTTACTATTTTTAAATATGTGATGAGTTTTATGGATGGACCTTGGCAAAGCTTTTCCCTTCATGCAGATGCACACACTATTTGTGGTGAAAAAAATAAAATAAAAAATAGTCTAAACCTTTGTTCCACATGCATCTATTAATGGCACAGGTGTCTGCTCTAAAAATAAAATGTTGGTAACAACAGGGGAAGAAAAGGGAAATGTTTTTATAGATAAGGATTATTTGATCATAAGAAAAATCCATCAAACCCTTTTTTCCTCCTCTCCTTCCTTTACTCATGGGCAAATCAAGCAACTACCTGCATGGAATGAATTTTTATTTTATATATTCTCTCCCCCCAACACACATACACTTTCTTAAATATTTGTGGACATGTATGTATCTCTTCTACACCATCTGCAATAAACTTGTGTATACACGTTGTAAAGATGCTTAGGTAAACTGAAGATTTTCCTTGGTTTAAACAAAGATCTATCAACCAAATGCTTGGTTTCTATCTACTGTGCCATACTGGCCCCTAGAGGCAGATTATCAAAGCATCAGTGCTAAAAAGCCAAGTTATTTGCTAGTATTCGGAACACAAAACATGAAACACTTTGGATGCTCAGGAAAGAGTATACAAATACTTTTTTATTTAATGTAATTTTAAATCTGGTAGATTCTTATTACTATGTCTGTCATATCTCTCTTTCCCATAAGCAACTGACTCTGGTTTAGCCAACACAGATCAGAGTCCCTGCAGGTATATAATCCTTTCTCAAATTTTCTAGACTAGGAGTAGAGAACTTGTAATTCTGCAAAAGCCAGAGAGACAGAATTCCCACCTGTTCCAGCCAGCATGGTCAAGTGTTAAAGATCCTGGCATTGCAGCTCAACAACGTGGATGTTCACAATTGCTTCATCTACAGGTATGGTTTAGAGAATGAAGGACCCTTTTACCTCTAAGACTTGGTACAAACCATCAACTAGGTAAACTTGCTGAAAAGACAGTAGAGGAATAGATGGCTGTTTAGCTACACAAATTCTCTAGTACCTGCTTTCTGGATCCTGAATTTGTCTCCACCACCAGCAAGATTTCCTAAGCAGAATTCTATTCAGAATGTTTTTGCTGACAAACATGGAAAGAATTCCATTTCCTAGCCCTCTGCACCACTTTCCACAATATTCCATATGACCCTCAAGATTATAGAGCACATTTCCATAAGGAGAGTAGAATTAATAGAAATCACCATTTCCCCCATTCTGCCAGCATAATCCATCCATGAATAAGATGTCATCTATGAACAGAAAAAGCCCTTCCAAAGTTGCATGAGTAATTCTGCAGTTAGCATCAATTGCTTCTCAAGAGCAGTATCTTTGGTCCCATCCTCACCGATAATAGAAAAATGTTCAAAACAAAAGTACTGTAACTAGTAGATTCTCTTGCTGTTTCTCCCATGAGTATTCAGTGTTAACTCTATTGAGATACCAACTATATACTATTCATTACAAGTATGTGCTACCATCATTTAAACTGATGTAGATACATCATCATGCATAT